AGGCCAGGACACTACATTTTTGTGCGGTCCATTTACAGTCAACTCTCGCCTTATGGACGTTATTACGGACACCCGCTATTACGGACAAAATCCACTCCTCCACCCCGGCCTGGCCCTTCATTATCCTTGAGTGTCATAATGCTTTCACAACAACAGTTATTCGAATTCCTGAGCATTACATTTTTACAAATTTAATCATGATATGGTTAAAATTTGGTCTAGCTGCGCATTGTTGTTGAAATCGAGGCTGTCAGTTTCTTCCCGCTCTCTCCAGATGTCCATCTTCCAACATGTAGGCAGGTTTGTACTTATTGCTGCCGTCTTCGTATTTTAAGGCAGGGTTAGGAGTAGTGTTATGGGTGCTGCCCAGTGATGTGTACCCCTCGTCATATAGACAACAGTATGGAATGTCGCACTCTCTGATCATAGACCAGACGTCGGCATGGTGCCAATCCAAATTGGATTTACTCTCATATAGTGCGGCCAGTCTGCGTCAGTCGGAGAAAATGTGCGCAGAGCATCGGAAAAAGGATCGTGCCTCCTAGTACCCAACAAAATCGCTTTGATTGCAGGCTGAGTTTCTTTAAGTGTTTTCAGAGCTGTCTTTATACCTCCAGTCATAGTTATGAGATTCAAATTATACCTTTGAGTTGTTTCTGAGATGAAGTCTTCTGCTTGCGGAAACGGTGAGTTGTAGCAGACGTACAAAGCCTTCAGTTGTTGAGGTGGGGGTGATAGTTTATTCAGCGCAGCATGTAAAATGTGTAGTAGTACAGTACAGTCTTTGCCTCCGTTGAAACTGATGCACAGTTCATCCAAGGAATACAGCTGCAGAGTTTGCTGTATGACGGCCCAAGCTCCTTTTAAGCAGGCACTAGTGTTGGACTCGTCCCGAGGATCCAGCAGACTGTAGACTTTTTCCACACTCAGTACTGGTTTATAATCCGGCTCATTTGCAGGTTGACTGGGTAGACCTATGATAAATACAGTTTGTATCAGATGCTAAAATGCCAGCTACATGTAATTTTCAGTTATATAAAATTGTTATATAGTTTCAACCCCCACCCCCTAAAAGCAGGTCGGTTCAATCAGTACACCAATATTAATTCCAGGTTTTGCCAAGTTTGGATCAGGAAGAACCGCCCTGAAAAACTATCATTAACAGAATCTGCGTCACTTGAAATCTGACCTCCACCACCGAGATATGGTAACTCAAGTATAAAAGTGTCCTGGAGGTACAAGGGTTTTTGGGGGTATGAAATTGACAATACGTATGTCACTAAGTACTTTTGGGTCATAAATAAATATTAGCCAGCTGCAGTGCTGGCATATTTTGGTGAGCGAGCACTGAAATATTCCATCGAGTGTTAAGCCACCATCTTGGATTTTCCCTCCCTTCCCCACCCTCTCACCCGCCCTCTCATCTGCCCTCTTTCACTTGTCCCGAGCTAAACACTTGAACAAGATAGACATCACTCGCCCAGCCAAAGAACCGAGGCGAGGGTCATAGATTTTTGTTGGTAATTTTTGGGGTAAGTTGTGTTATATTAATTTTATTATATGGGTATCTTTTTGGGTAATTATTTTTTCACCCCTATCACTTTTTCTTTGAGTTGCCCCCTCCCCCCGGGAGGGTACTCCCTATAATGGACTATACGGGGAGGCTCCGCCCGAAAGGGGTACCTTTTCAGACTCGAGGTATATAAAAGGGTAGGGATTTCACGAGTTGGAGTATATCAAAGGGTAGGGATTTCACAAGTTGGAGTATAGAAAAGGGTAGGGATTTCACGAGTTGGAGTATAGAAATGGGTAGGGAAAACTGTCATTTAGGTATGAGGTGGACTGCAGGTTTGAAGTTCTTAGCCATCGTAAGACAGCGTCCTTCCGCTTCCTTCTGGGGATATATATTGTTCATTAAGTTCATTCCAAGGGTATAAAAAAGGATGCAGTGTTTCTACTGTAGGTATGTGAAAGGGGTACCATTTTCATAATGTCTATGGAAGGTATACACAGCAATCGGAAACTAATAAAATTAGTTATTAAAGGGAGGGTGGGAGGATTCGCCTTGCTGCGGAGAAACTTGCAGCATTCTGAAAAGGGGACGAATTATCACTCACATGCTATGGCATGCTTGATTGACACTATGCCAAATATGGAAGTCACGTATTGGGAAGAGACCGCAGGATGAACGCGGGCTAGTAAGATTGTTGCTTGCCGACATTAACCTTAATTTTATGCTAAAATATCAAAATGGTATATAAAAGGGTAAGGGGTTGGACCTCTGGCGGAGCCTCCCGTATAAAACTTTTTTGAGTACCCCCCGGGCACTGACACACGATTGAATTACAATAACATAGAACTTACAGTTTGGTAATGATGCATCAGGGACGCCTTCCTCTGTCCTCACAACCAGGTCCTTGGGCAATCTTCCCAGAAGGTAGTGCCAGGGCCTCCTCCAGGTCACTCATATTAATCTGACTCCACAGTCAACTTGACTTTAAATTCTTGATTACAGAAATCAGGATATGATCCTAAATGCACTATTCCTTTAAATTTCTCATCAACCTCATCCAAAATAGAAGCCTATAGAACGTTTCTTCTGCTGAAAGGTAAACCTTTCGCAGGAAAAAATCGTTTCTGAGAGTTGGAAATCGAAAGAAGATTTTCTAAAGCGCCAAACTCCTTTTCCAAGAACTGCGGGACTCCAGGGAATATTACACGTTATGGGCAGAAATAAGAGGACATTGCTCGGTTTCCCTGATGAATCTTTGCCATATGAAAGTTTGACCGAGGAAGGCACCACGCGCCATTTTCAGATGGGACGAGTTGATTTGATGTTTTGAAAGGTCACACACGCCCGAAATTAATCCCACTAAATCTTCATTGAGAACTAGATCTTCTTCAAACGCTGTGGCGATGCCTTGCATCGTAACATCGTCGTGAGTGGGCCAATTCCGCCGTAGTTATCACAACGGAAAATCGAGAAGAGAATGTTTTCACTTCACGAGCAATTTCTTCTACATCATCTGAAATGACAGAAACATTTCCCCACCTTGACTCCCAAGGGACCACAGCTTCTCAGAAGAAAGTGAGAATTCGTGTCTTTCGTATGACCTTTTAAAATCTCGTCTCCTATGATGATAATCCCGGCTGTACATTTTGAGTCGTTTTTGAGCATTCCGTCCGCCATTTTGATTTGATTCCCGATCGATATTCAATCGATCATAGGTCACGTGACTATAACTTATGGCAACGAAGTCAAACAAAGATGGCGACTTTTTGCATCGGAGAGTTGCTCGAAACAATAAACACTTGCAAGGATTGACCAGATATGATTTTGTCTAAGATTTCACGTGAAAAAGTGGATCAATTGCTGTTGGTA